AGAGAGAGAGAGAGAGAGAGAAAGGCGAAGCTGCCGGGGAATGCAAAAAGGTCGTGGCCCGGGCCGGGTTCGCCGCGTTTTACAAATTATTCAATTAGCCCCGCGAATTAAGGTATGCATATTCATCGCTCTCTGATACGCGTATGTGCGCTCCGCGGCTACATCCAACGCGCATAAACAATTCGTTGGCTCGCACACGCGCGTTAGACGCTCTAACGAACTCGCAGCTGCATCCGAAATGCATCCGTTTTGCAACGATGCGGACAGCAGGGGAGAGGCGGAGGGAGGCGAAGCACCGCGCCGGTTTTCCTCTCCGTGTCCGTGCGGCACAGTTGCACGAGTACGCTGCCGGATATGTACGCTGCCGAAACTCACTGTCCTCACTGGTATCCAGCGTCGAGAGAGTCGTTTTCGTTCTTTTTCCAGCCCGCTATCGTCTATCCCTCGGTACGCGGAACGATCGAACCTTCGTTCTTTTCCCTTTATTTTCATCTTGTTAAAGATATTTCGTCCAAATCTCACGTGTCTCTTTCTGTCGATTTGTACATAATCTGTGGTTACCAATTCAATTTAGTTACAGTCGTTGCTGTGGAGAAGAAGAAGGGGGGTGGAGGCTCTAGCAAAGAAGAATTGGTCCCCGAAACGAAAGTCCCCACCGGCGAGATCCGTCCCGGCCACGGTGCTTGTACATCCAAGCCGTGCGCGCATTAATTTTGTACCGTTGTCACCGGCAGGTACATGCGTATTCATGAGACACAGCGAGGCTTATAAACGTTGAGCTATTAGCGATACGATTAAAATGTGCATTTCTCGGCGTTGTTTTAAACGCGGGCCGCGGACCCGTGACTCCGCCCCGGTGGCACCGCGCCGCGCCTATTTCACCTACAGCTCGCCGATGTTTTATTTTCCTATTCCGCTCGCCTGCTTTATCTACCGGAAGAAATAATAATCCGGCCGTCTCGTTCCTCGCTCCGCTTTAATCCGCGCTCTGTCTTGCCAATTAATTCCGCTTTTTACCATTTTACACGGCACGCCGCGTCCACGGATTTCACCGTGTTCCTCGCCGCGAGATGCTCGGTCTATCCGCCGATCTTCCAGCGATCGTCGATGCTCTTTTCCTCGGAGGGAAGAACGACTCGCGTTTCTAAAGGTGGAATTTTCCTGATGCCTGTGTTTTTCTACCGAACGTCGTTTCCAACACGCACTGCAACGTAACACGACGATCGATAAAGAGGATAATATCACGGTGAAACTCCGTTTTTACTCGAATCGAATTTCAGTTAATTCCCGACTAAACGAACTCTTGCTTCTGGTTGACGCCACTTGTTCCTACCTGAACTTTTACTGTATGAATAAAAAATCAGGGAAAATCGGTTATATGAATTCTAATTTTGTAAACATCACCCTCGACGATGGTTCAGCTGTCAACAGTACATATAATTGACAACATACTTCAGAATTCGGATTTTCCGAATGTTGTTACAGCTGGATGATTTTTAGCCTGATATTTGACGATCTTTTGCATCAAGAGAAACCTGTCTTCGTCTTTGTAATCTGTACGTTTCTAACCTAACTAGTAATTGTTAAATTGTGTTCTATTTACGAATAGTAGTACTTATGACAGCAAGAATTTGACAGTAGAAATATCTTTTGTAACTATTGCAATTATAATTATAATTATAATTATAATTATAAAAAGTCAGCTGCAATAAGGAACGATTTCCACCTTAAGCGGTGGTATTGATTTAATTATGCTTTTCGCCGTACGAAACTCTTAGGACACTTTTATTGTATTTTATTGTATTTTATAATACAATAATTAATAACACTCGACAAATTCTTTGTTGTGTAAAGCATCATCGAAATTTCTCCAACATCGAAACGAATATACGTAAGACTTTCCAGCGGGGAATGTACGTTCACGAGTTGTGTGTTATTTTCTGAAATCGTTGCCCGTGTCCACCGTTTTTCACCGATCGCTCGTACGACGTCCGACAACTTTTATCTCCGATCGTTGGTACCGATACCGCGTTCCCTCGGAAACGCTCGGGAACGAGAACGAATGCTCGCGGAACGGTGGACAGTTATCGCGTTGTATTATTCAAAAGTCATCGGAGCGGAATATCGCGAAGCTTCGTTTCTTATTCGGGATATTATTTGTTCAACGACGTCACCGGTTGTTCCGCAAATTAGCGGGTCGGAAACAAATCGGTTGTTCGCATCGCGTTCACGGGAACCGGCGCGTTCCTCCCTATCTATATTGTATTCATATTCATGCGAATAATTGCAATAATGTGTAGCGGCGCTCAGAGTAATTGATATCCGTGTAAGCGATTACGAAGGTGGTAGTGGCAGTGGTTGAAAAGTCTGGCGCGTTAAATATTGTTCTCGATTTTCACTGGCCAGAGCGTCGAAGATCTTTCTCATTTTCTATTTTCATTAACTCTGTTAGCAATCTTTAGTTAACAATAAGTAGTAATTTATAACAAGAAGATAAACACGAAAATTCTATTGCAACTGACTATTTTTCGTAAGAGCCTTAACCCTCATAGTGGCGAACAACTTTATTTTCCCTTTGCTCCTTTTGGAATTTTTTGCACAATTTCATCTCGAACTTTAACAAACCGTATCAAACTTGATTCGATTGGCACTGAAATAATAAAACTTCACAATACTTCCTGTTATAGTCTAGCTCCTCGTACCTGATCTTCCAATTATTCCCCTTCCGTTCCATACCGCAAGTCAATTTTTCTAAGTTTAACTTTTGACACTACACGGTTCTACGCTGTTGGTACCATGCTGATCGCGTTGTTCTCTTGATGTTTCGTTGACCTCTCGCGCACAATCACCGTGTGTCCGTGCTAATTAATCGACAGGAGGGTGGGGAAGGGGTGTTGAGATGGGAGATGGAAGGTTCAATTAACGCGTCTTCGGGAACGGGACGGCGACGCGGAACGGTTTCGCGGCGGATCAGCTGGAATAATCGCGCGGATAACCTTGTCCTTCCCCCTGTTGTAACGCGGCAGCTCCTTTTATGAATGTAAATGTATTCCCGATCGGCTGATCAGATAGTTTAATATTAATAATAGAGCACGCTCTCGAGATTATCGGGGCTTCCTCGAATTTGTCGGCCGTGTGTCACGACGACGATATGCATCCCCGATATACGCGCGGCCAATTACCGGTGCCCTGGGATTGAGTCATAACGATTCTGGTTATGTTAAACGGCCGAGAGCCTCTCTCGGCCGTTTTCGTCGATACGTCTCACGTATTCGATTATAAGATAGCGTAAAAGTATTCTGCCATTGCCTTTAATTGGATACTTGTTTCTCTCTCTCTCTCTCTCTCTCTTTCTCTCTCTTGCCGGGTTACGGAAAGTGCGCCGCGGCGCCCGACATATCGCGCGAGCATGAGCGCAGCAAACGGCCAACATACCGTGGCTGTTTTGCGATAGTTGGTGTCTTCAATAACGGGGGCCCTCCCTCCTTCTCCCCCTCGCTCCCGTATTACATAAAGCTGCACAGTTTCTGTCTGGCCGTTTCTTTTTTCCTTCCCATAAACTATCGCGCCATAAACTCGGCGTCTGCTTGCCGCGCGACCGGCATTCTCGCGTTTACGTCTTAACTCACCGATCGTATTCCCCGATCGCGCCGCTAGATTCACACGGAATCGCTCGGCTCGGTTCCCGGTTCGATTCGCGAGGAAACGCGCACGCTATCCTGAAGAATCGAATGCAACATAGTTAGCTGCGTTTGCACGCACCGTTTTTAAGGGGAATTAAGGCTATCGTACGCTTAACGGCACGCCATGCGAACCGGCAGGCGGATCCAACGTCTAGGAAATCAGATTCGGCGAGGTTCTAGAATCGAATTAAAACTCTTCTGTTTCTTTCTTCTTTTTTAATTAATCGGCCAGGTCAGACTTGATCGACAGCAATTTTTTTTTTTGGAGTATTTTAGATTTCTGTGTTCTTTTTTTTTTTTTAATTTTAACATCTCGAGTATTCTCAGTGAATTTTGTATTTTATCCTGAACAAGTTTAGAAGTATTTTCACCGATGCGTTTTGTTTTTCTTTTTTCACTTTATGGTATAAAAATTATCCTCCTTCTGTACAAGCAAAGATGGTACACGAATAATTGAACGTTGTTTGTTAAATTTATCAACTGATCTTTAGCCGTCTCCATTTATTTTGATTTCCTCTAGGCAGAGTAGAAACTTCACCTCACGATTTAGAAAAATGCAAAAGCCAGTTGAAGACGTTTATGAAGACGTTTATCGGCGTAAAGTTGCAATCAGATTGCCGGACAAGCTAAACGTCGAAACAACGGACGAGGAGGTTCTCGCGGTAATTTCTTCGGTGGCGGCGATACGTACGTACAGGCGTGGCTCCTCGTATTTCTTTCTTGACTTTAATATGAGCTCCGCCGCGTAAGTAGACGTTACATAAAATGGCAAATATCGGAAGGGCTTACGGCCGCATTATGCCGACGGTGGCGGGCTTTATTGCGCGGCGTGTTCTCTCCTGAGCAAGGTAAAAAGGGAACAAAACGAAAGAAAAGAGAAAAGGAGGAAGAAGAAGGAGAAAAAAAAAGAACGAGTGATAGAGAAAGATACGGAGAACGTTGGAGAGTCACGGCAGATGTCCAGGATGTCCGTGTCGTTGGAATTGTCTACGCATTTCTTATAAATGTCACAGCGAAGAAACCTGGCGTGAAGTTAATGCCGCCGTGGAACACGAGCCACGATTCCAATACTGATCCACGATTCCAAGACTGATCGTGGAGGCATCTGGTTGGCGAAAATTTCAACGATGACTCGTCGGTCGATCGTTAACGTCCAACTGTGCTGTGAAATTTATGCGAATTCTCGAAAAACCTTGAGCAGACACCTTGAATTCCCACGTACTTTGCAAGCCATTGTTCCGCGAAGGTATACGTACGTTGTTGATATTTTAAGCTCTCGTTACTCTCGAATTCTACCGATCGAAGAAACTGAATGTCTCCAGAAATCTTTCGCGTCCCGATGGAACGCAGTGTCCATCGAAAATCTAACAAATCGACAGAGTATTGGAGTATCGTGACTAATGCAACTGTATTGACCATATATAAGTCTGAATGAAATTACTCCCGTTCCATTCGAAAACAACAACGACAACAAGTTGATGTTCGCTCTCAGTGCGGTGAAATACCTGCGAGGGACACTCGATCGAGCGGAGACGTACCATAACGCGCGGATTCACGCGTACCAGCGATATATCTATCCTTCCAAGGGGTTATTGCGTCCCTTTAAGGATCGTCAGCCGTTCCTCGCCGACGGATCCGTCCTCGACTATTTTCCCATTTTCGTCGGCTGATCGAGACGGCGAGAGCGGAGTCG